TGTTTGTGACAGAGACGAGTTGTTTATAGGCTCCCTCCTTCTCGGCATCGCGCTCCGCAACATTCCGATCATCAACGAGTGGCTTTACATCCATCAGTCTTGGGATTTCACCCTCCGTCGCCTAGCCTTCGTGGTCGTGCTCATCAGATGTTGCCTGGGTGTCGATCTGGAGGCGTTGAAGAAGACACCGGTTAGTAGACTCTGCGATGTGCCTGGGGTACGCACTTTACTAACCACATTCGTAACTCTAAAAAATTAAAAAGCCTTTTTTTTATTTAGCCAGTTACGATAAGAAAACCTTTCGCTTATCCGATTACGCTATAAAATTCAGCTAAAACCAGTTCTTGAACTCTAAACAACAACCTCCAGGTGGTGCTCCTCGCCCTCGGCTGTATAGCCCCTCTAATCGAAGCGACAGCCGTTTGCCTGGCCGCCCACTTCATCTTTGCCTTCCCGCTGAGTATTGCTGTGCTTTTTTTGGGTACAGTAGCTCGTTTGAGAAACCACGAAGTCAAATTTAGCCTGCTCCTGGCAGCCGGGTCTCAAGCCGTCGTGCTTCCATCACTTCTGCAGCTTCAGAATCAGAATTTGGGCACGGACAAGGTATGGGAGAGAGAGCGCCAGAAAGAACCAGATCGAGAGAGAGAGAGCGAGAGAGAGCGAGCCAGAGAGAGAGAGAGAGAGCATTAAAATGTACTTTTAGAGTATTCCCTCATTAATCGGTGCCTGTGTCTCGATCGATAACCTGCTTCTGGTCGTCATATATACCGTAGTCTCGGAATTCGTCTTTTCTCCAGGTATCTTTTCGACAAACGATTTATCTGGGTTCCTCTGTTTGTCTAGCTTTTTTATTTTGTATAATCCCGAAAAACCCGATAAATTCAGAAGTTTCAGCCCCGGCCGTCGAAATCATCCTCGCGACAATCGGTGAGCTGGTCGCCGCAGTGATCATCGGCAACTTTTTCGGTACGTAAAAATTATTTTTTTGTTTATTGCCAATAACAATTTATGAAATCAAACAGATAAGAATCTAAAAAGCGTTAATTTTCAATTAATTACCGTATTTTCAGGCTGGCTAGTCTGGTGGTTCCCGCGACGCGGCGACACCTATACGCACTTGGCGCGAGCTATCCTGCTACTCACGATCGGGACGGCGTTGTTGTTCTCGGCTATACGGTAGCTTTTCCTCAAATGCGATGCCTTTCTGGTTCCTCGAAACCTTAAAAAATTATTTTTAATGTCTTACGGTGATTTCGCAGTGCAAAATCAGGCTTTTTTTGTCGGTTTAAATAGGTGTAGACGCGATTTGAAGGCTTTAGGACAACCTTTTGACATTTTGATTCCCCGTTGTTTTAAATCACAAAAAAAATTAAACTCCATGGGTTACATTAATTTTTGGTCCGGCATATTGCCTTTCGAGCCTCTTTAAACCCAAAATTGCTGATTTTTCAGACTCAAGGTCGAATTCGCCGGGGTCATCTCCCTGATCACCACCTGCCTGACGGCGATCCGCATGTGGCGGCTGGATAGCGAGAAAAAGGTATCAAATTGTTGGCTAGCGTCCCATTACTTCGCCAACTAGACGTACATCGAGGAGAAGACGTTCGCCACGCTCTGGAATCTGCTCTTCCAGCCAATTCTATTCGTGTTGATTGGCATGAAGTTTGACATTCCGAATGTTAGTTTTTAGTGGTTTTCCTGCTATGCCGGCTTTGCTTTTTCCACAAGCTACATTACGCTCCTTTAGACGACCGGCGAGGGAGTGGCACTAGGATTGGCTTGCCTCGGGATTGGTATCGCCGCCAGGGCTGTGGGTAAGTCGCACATTACGGTGTCACAAAAATTGGCAAACAACCAACCTATGCAGCAGAACTACGCATTTTATCAAAGCTTCCCAGTTTCTAAAAAACCGCTACAGGTGTCATCCTGCTGACGATGTGCTCTGGCCTGCGTTTCTCGGAGCAGCTCGTCTTCGTCGGCTCATTCTTCCCCAAAGCAACAATTCAGGTAGTTTTCAAGAGGTTTCAAAACCCGTCGGAACAAAAGCTAACGTCAGGATTTCGAAACGATCATCTTCTATCAATTTTAGGCCGCCCTGGCCCCGTCAATCCTCGTGGGTTCGATGGCGTTCCCCGAACTGCTCGACTATGCTTCTATCGTCCTCGTGGCTTGCATCGTGGCGATTCTGGTCACCTCCCTGTTCGGCCAACTCTTCATGGACCTCTGCGCCCCGGCACTGCTTCAGAAAGACTACGTGCAATCGGTAAGTCTGGCAAATGCCGAAAAGTATCAAAATTTCTAAAGCAGAAAAAATCCTATCCTATAAGCGAGAAAAGTATGTCTGTTTTCTGTGCAGCCGATTTCTGGGCCGTCAGGCCGAATTTCCGGCTGATTTTTGGCATGGAGGTGGAGAAACACATTTGCCAGAAACGCATTTTTTTGTTGTTCGAAATTCCTTTATTTAACGATTTTACATACAAAATGGTGAAAATCCTTAACAAAATGGGCGACGAGCCGTGGTGTCCGGGCCATAACTCGAAGCGCTGATGGAATTTCGGTCTGTAAGTTGGACCACTTATGTATTCGATAGTGGGGATCACGCGCATATTATTTTTTTTACAAATTTTCGGCGCATTTAGACTAAATAGCGCTTTTTTTAAAGTTACCAGAAGTCCTCCCTCCCGGGTTGGACCCCGCCCCCAGGACAGAAGAGGCCTTTACCGCCGCCCTTCCCCCATGCCTCCTTTGGTATAGTGGCTTGACGCCCGGTCTACCACACTCATAGTCGAGGGTTCGGATCCTCGGCAAATTTAACTTTTTGCTTTTTGATAGTTCAACAACAAAACATATTTCGAGGCTCTAGGTATCCGTAATTTAGGCCAGTCCCTCGCTCTAGCGCCGCAGGCCAAATAAAAGGTCCTTGACCCGCCGCAGGCCAGGTGCTGGAGAAAAACCAGTAGCTAGCGCCGCAGGCCAGAGAATGGTTTAGAGTCAGGCTCTTGCGCCGCAGGCTTGAAAAACGGAAGGGGAATATATGGCTCCTAGACGGGGGCCAGTGGAAAAGGGCCGCGAAGCGGTCATTTTCCACTGGTCGAAAATAAGGCGATCATCCCAAAATTCGGATAATATCGAATATGGATAAAAAAAGCTAAAAATCAAGCTAAAAATGCCGGCACAGCTATAGGAAAAATAATAACGAGCGAGATGCGAGATAGAGAACATGCGCAAGATCTGGTAAAATCACTATTTCTTTTTTCAGGTAACAATCACGCCCGGAAATGGCTTCTACGGGAATGGAGGGAAAATTGATGAGGGTTTCGATCCATCCCTTGGTTTCGTCTCCTTCTCCCAGCTGCGCCAGACACCAATCGACACCCAGCGAGTACACGACGCGCCTAGGGACGGACCGAGATACGTGTGGAGCGGGAATTCGTGAGTTTTAAGAGGAAAGAAAAACATTTGAATGTACGATTTAAACTCAAATTTAACTGTTTGATAACGATTAGATACTTTGATATGCTATATTTTTTTACTGTTTCTGTAATTTTCGCTTGAAAAACCATATTTTTAGCATGGCTATCGAGGATCAGGCCGGCGATTTTGAGCGGTACGTCGACCAAAAGTGAGTTTGCTACTTCAAAATCTTAATTTTTAGATCTAGCTGTTAGTTTTTGATTGATTTTAATTGGTTTTACTTTGTCTTGCGCATAGGAATTACTTATAAAATTACTGAAATTTTAGGTATCAAATCCCGCGAATCGAAGAACCGCCGGTGGTGGTGACCAGCGATCGTTTCCCCACCCCCTCATTTATGCGCAACCCACCCCCACCGCAGAATTCGCCCAGTTTTCAGCGGTTCTAAAATGTGCTCCACCGCTCCTGTGCCGTATATATTGAATTGTTAAAGGGGATGTGCCAATTGTAGTTTGCGTTACGAATTTCAATTTACGTGATTTCTGATCTTTTAACTTACCGTAGCCTTCAAATTGACGTTTCCCACGGATTTGCCCCCGATTAATGCACGTTTCTATGGCTAGATTACAAAATACAGACGCTACAGTACAAAATGACAAACTACAAACTTCGCGTCGCCACCTTTCTGATTTTCCAATTCAAACTGGTGGCTGCAAAATTCCATTAAGCTACCTAACTGACGCGTTTCCAGCTGGCACGCTCCGTTTAAGACCAGATCTCTATCAAATTATCTTTAAACAACACGCTACAAATCAGAAGCTACAAACTTCACCCTGCAACAAACGCCAAAATTTGTGATTTTTCTCTATCACCAAGCCAAAACTATTGATTGCCTGATGAAAATAAAGTCTGACCCCTTTGCAGACGCGTTTTTCATACCCTACAAAAATATACCTATTCGTTTTAATGTATTTTTATCGTCGATTCGGAATATAAATTTATTAAATTAATTCAATTAAATTAAACACATAAAAGGTATCAAATAACTGGCGAATCATATTAGGGACAATAAAAGATCTGGAAAGAACACACGGCGGAACCCATTTTGGGGGGAATGATTTGGAGAATAGAATTACGGTAATAAAAACAACAAAAATTGACAGATTTTTCAGATGAATTAAAAGGCCATCCGCGAGTCACCCGAACAGTCCCCGATATCGCTTGTCACAGTTTTTTTAGACCCCGTTTTTTCGATGCCATATGAAAGAGCATGGTCGAATTAGTAGGGCTGCATGGTTTTGAATGTGTAAAAAGTTTATTTTTGATGTTTAAATGGTCGTTAAAGTTGACTACCTCCAAAAACTATCTCGAAAACGACTTGACCAAATTTGCTGATAATTTGCGACAATACCTAATTTGGCGCGGTGGTCATTTTTCTAATACATTTCAAAGCATGGAAATGGCCGGAACATCGGAATCTCGCGTACTCAAATGAGTTTTTCAAGAATTACTATTTAATAGGAAGTCGTCGCCACTCTAGAAACACACTTAAAAGATGCGAAAATAAATTCTACATCGAAAGATGTGTTTTTTAAGTTGGCGACAGCTTTCTATTAAATCGAAAAAATGACATTTCTAAAATTAGCAAAAACAGCTCAAAAACATAGATAGCTTTATTTTTTCGCAACCGGAGGCATGCAATCGAATATTGATGCTAAGTCGAGCCTGATACAAAAAAAGCAAAAATAAATATCGTTTCTACACGAAATTGGGCTTGGCGGGGAATCGAACCCGCGATGGTCCGTCTGGGGGCACTGGGGACAGCCACTAGTGGGCGCCGCCACCTCCCCAGGCGAACGACCCGAGTTCAATCCCAGCCCACTTTTAGAAATCGAATTTCTTTTTGCTCTTTTTTGTAATCGCTTTGTTTTGGTCTCTAGATACCAAACACTGTCTTTCTGTTCAGAAATACACAAATTTTTCCTTTTTAGTGCTTTTGAAAGTCGTTTTTCGATTTAATAGGAATCTGTCGCCAACTTGAAAAACACATCTTTCGATGTAGAATTTATTTGCGCATCTTTTAAGTGTGTTTCTAGAGTGGCGACGACTTCCTATTAAATAGTAATTCTTGAAAAACTCATTTGAGTACGCGAGATTCCGATGTTCCGGCCATTTCCATGCTTTGAAATGTATTAGAAAAATGATCACCGCGCCAAATTAGGTATTGTCGCAAATTATCAGCAAATTTGGTCAAGTCGTTTTCGAGATAGTTTTTGGAGGCAGTCAACTTTAACGGCCATTTAAACACCAAAAATGAACTTTTTAAACTTTTAAATCTATGCAGCCCTACTAATTCGAACTTGCTCTATCAGATGGCATTAAAAAAACGGGGTCGAAAAAAAACTGTGACAAGCCTAGTTCGGCTCTCTGGCAAACGGCCTTTTAATACCCGTAATGACCTGAGAAAGTATGCTTTTAGGGGACATTGAAGGCGGAGATGCACGGGAGAGAGAGAGCGAGAGAGAGCGAGAGATAAATAGAGAGAGAGCGAGAGAGGGCGAGAGAGAGAGAGAGATAAATAGAGAGAGAGCGAGAGAGAGCGAGAGAGAGAGAGATAAATAGGAGCGAGAGCGAGAGAGAGAGAGAGAGAGAGAGAGATAAATAGAGAGAGAGAGCGAGAGAGAGAGAGAGAGAGCCATATCGACATTCAGATTATTTTGCAGGCATTGCTGCATCCAAATTCAATTCCACAGAACTGGACAAGTCCGTCAAATAGTACGTCCAGTACCTTAAAAAGTTGGCGTCATTTTTCAACCCGATCAACTTACGCAATGTTGAACATACAGTAGCAGGTGGGGAAGAGAATAGCGCTAGAATTTGATGGTCTAATTGGTTAAAATCTCGGTTTACCTGTAAAAATCGACAACTTCTGGCCGGATTGTCGGCATCTTCTTCCAGCGTTTCCGGACGGCGCCAAAGAACGATCGGCGTTCACGGGAGCGTTTGATAGTGGCAAGGGCTGGCATATCGGATTCGGGAGGTGCGGTCTAAAAATTGAGCGCGAACTCGTGATCGAAGGCTCTTTATCACCCTCGCCAACTCTCGCTCTCTCTCCCTCACTCTCTCTCTCACTCTCTCTCTCCCTCTCCCTCACCTCATTATTATGATTATCATGATTCCGCATCGACGAACACCGCTTGTCCACCCAGAATTGTCGTAATTCCAGGTGTGGACTACTCTGTGCTCCTTTCCACGCGACGTCCTCTTCCTCGGCTTCCCTAAAGTACGACCGTGTTCAGGGTATCAATGCGGAATTCATACCTTTTTCTTTTTCTGCTAGGTTTCGGTGGGAGGCCTTCATTTCTGGACATGAATCCAACCACGCACAGCTCGAGGAGGGACATGAAGATGAACAGCATACCGCTGGAAATGGAAAAAGTTGAGAAGAACATGCGAATGTGAGAGATAGAAGGCAAGGGAGAGCAAATAGGGAGAGAGAGAGAGAGAAGGAGAGAGAGAGAGAGTGGGAGAGAGATACATAAGCCAAACCTTAGCATCCACACGTCAATCGCCTTCACATAAGAAACCCGAGGCAAATTCCTGATGATATTTCCAAACTGGAACGTCATGGCTAGCAGAGAATTGACTCCAAGCATCGTCCGGGCTGGGATGGCTCTAAAAACGGCTTGCAAACGCCGGTTTCATTTTTTGTTCATCCACAGGTTGTAGATAGGTCATAGTAGCCATGCAATAAACCATAAACTACCAAGGCTACCAAAATACAGGCCTGCTAGCCCCTTTAAAAGTCACTTACCTCGGTCCCAGGTAGAATGAAATCCAAGAGATGACGATGGTGACCATTGTTGGAATGTAACCCTAAATTTGGACGGCTGACAGTAAGAATAAAATAAAATTATTGCCCACCTGCAGGATGTACCACCCGTAACGACGCTTGAATACAAATGACACCGTCAACTCGTCCCACAGCCCGGCTGGGTATTGCTGAAATCGCGAGCTTTTTAAATGCAATCTTAAGGCTACGAACCTGTTCAATATACTCATCCGAAAAGTTGACCAGCTCGAAGTCGGGAAGCTGGATGTCTTTCATAAGAATCACCGAGAAAGGTCGATTCCACTCCATTCGCACTTCGCCGGTGTTGTAGTTATAACTGAAAAAAGAAAAATGTTCTTAATACTACTATTAACGAGCGAGCGAGCGAGCGCCAGAGTAGCTTCCGGCATTCACACTCGTATTTTTTTAAATGCTACAGTAAAATCGGTCACCCTCGTTAAACGATACAAATGAAGAAAGTTTCAGGTACATAGTTTCTCAAGAAGTTTCAAGTCAAAACCCACGATTCGAAGGTGAGCAAACATTTTTGTCGATCGAACGGGAATCGCTTCAGATTCATCTGGCATGGTCCGGTCACCTTCATCCGGTAATTCGTCCATAGGGTTCCGTTGGAGAATATCATCAGGAACACGTTTCTGCAAGGCGGAATAGGTTAATTTACTTGTAGGGGGATGCAGTGGACATCGTGAGGAAAAGGTAACGAGAGAAACACAGATAGAGGGAGAGAACGGTCATAAATGCCTACCGAAACGGCGACTCGTGGATGGCGGCATTTTTCGAGTTGATAAAGCAGGTGTTCGGGATCCAGAGTCGTTTAAGGACCTGGATAAACAGACCATTGACTATATCAAAAGATGCCTGCCTTAAACATGAATGAAACTTACTTTATCATCAAAGGAATAATTTGTTTTGCATGGATTCAGATGTTCATAGGCCAATGCCGGGTCTTCCCAAAATTCGTTGATGTAGAGGTCTGAAAAATTAGCGTTATTTAGCTTTCTCTCTCTATCTCTCTCTCTATCTCTCTCTCTTTCTCTCTCCCTTTCTCTCCCTATCTCTATCTCTGTCTTTTTGTTTGCAGAGTCTCGCCTTCGATAGTTTTTTTGTATTTATTTTGTATTTTTGATTTTTAAGGATTCCTTCCTGTCACCTCCCCCTTTAATCCCCCCCTCCCCCTCCCCCTCCAGTTTCTATCAGATTTTTTCACAACAATCCCTTCCCCCATCCAAATCAATAACCCTGTGCCCATGGTTTGATTGGGTCCTAGTTGAGGGGCTGGCTTCTCCTCTCTGCTCCTCCCCTCCCTTCTACAGCTCTTCTTCTCCCTCGACCCAAAAGATGGAGGGTCCGTTGTGATTTGGTTACGGCGCGTCACAGCGGTCGTCTATAGGAAAGGGCTCCCGGCACGAAATCGGGGAGGGTCGAAAAGTCGGCCCTTCAATTCTGGCATTCTGGCACGTCCCACTTAACTGTTGCCGAGGAGGGGGGAGAAGTTTTTTTGCGGTAGCAAAGAACGATGCTAAAAATGGATACTTTTGGAGAGAGAGAGAGAGAGAGAGGAGGGGTGAGAGAGAGAGCGAGCGAGAGAGCGTGTGGGAAAGAGAAAGTGTGATGGAAGAAAAAGTGGGAGATGAGAGAGAGAGAGAGAGAGAGGAGAGAGAGAGCGAGAGTGGGATGGTGAGAAAATACCCTTTTCGAGCACTGTAATTAAACTTAACACGTCGGTCTCATGCCTTCGTAAATTTTTCGGAATGATCTTAAGGAAATTAGGACGTTACAAGCTATCTCTTTGCTGCCCCCCAAACACCCGAAATCCGAGCTCCAATTCCCGACTAGACACGACGACCCAGGGGGATTATAGTGGAATTCAAGGAGCAAGAGGGGGTCGTGGGTAAATATTCGGGGGGTCAGACGGGAGTAAAAGACCGCGAATTTTGGCATAGAACATATAAAAAAGCCGGCTGTCATAACCCAATTCCAGCCGGATCTATAAAATAATAATAATTTATTTCTCGCACTTAGGTTTACAAGTAAACACTTATTAGTGGAGGTAAGTTTGGAAGTTTGTTGAAGAAAAAGAAAAAGAAAAAGAAATGCACCACACATTGCCTACTCCCCACTCTTATTCAACTACTGAATAAAGTATATATATATAAAAAAGGGGGGTAAGGAAGCATTAAGGCGTTAAATGGACATGATTAATTAAAGAATGGATGAAATAGGTACTAATCGGGAAACCTGCTTTTTAAATAAAAAAAACCTGCTTGCTTTTGAATTCGATTGCCAAAAAATCATGCAGCTGGCAACCAAAAAAATTATAGAATCAGCCAAGTCTTACCGATCTCAAAATCCTGCGTCAACTCGGAAACAGCGGTGACTTCTTGGACCCACATGTCGACGCGGACTTGCACGGGGTGTTGGGGGAGGTAGTGCTGAAAAAAGGCAGCTTTTAAAGGTACCAGGAAGTGAAAAATCGGTCGACCCCCCTTTGACTGGATCTCGACAAGTACGTTACGCTCCAAAACACAGTGAAAAATCAGGAGCTACAGAATATAAAAATTAGCTTAAACGCTCAACGCGCGAAAATGGCATAAAATGAAACTTTGACGCGTTGTTTGACTTGTCGAGACCTAGCGATGGGAAGGGGTCGAATCTGGCGTTTAATAAGCGCTCTAAAGGGCCGGGAAAGGCAAGCCTAGCTGACAAAATATGGATTTTGTCAGCTACCTTGAGTGCTGCCTTGCCAGGCCCTTTAAAGGTACCAGTAAGGCTGCTTTTGGCCAGAAAATTGACCAAATCCATGACTTCCCAGTCCCTTTAATGAACATTATTTTCATCACGCACCTTATTATACGTATCCCTTATCAGCAAGTTGATAATCTCCGTATCGTTCGAGCAGTTTGTCGGCGATTGGGCGAGGCTAAATGGCGTTTTTTCTACCGTAATCCCAGCTGCCGCACCTGATGTTGTTGCTGAGGACCTCGGTGAGGAAGGAGACCATCACCCAGCTCGGGTGCGACATCTGAACGTGGAAATTTAGCTTTATTAATTTTTATTTTTACTAACCCAAACCCTTAAAATATACGATAAAAACAAAATGTTACAGATTTTTGCCTTATCAAACCCCTAAATCCAAAAAATTAGAATTGGGCTTTGGCTTAGCTTCGGCTTAACCTAGATTACGCGTCGGCTTAGCTTAGTCCAGCTTAGTCTTAGAGCAGGCCAAGCATAGGCTTAGCTTAGGCTTCGGTTTAGCACAGCCTCGGCTGCGGCTTTCCTAGTCCCTTTAAAACCATCAAAAATGACATTTTCATACCCAAGAACGGCGGCGCGACTTCATAGCAATCCATTCACATATCAGGAATCCATAAAAACAAAGAATTTCATAGAAAATTCGCGGGGAGTGTTTTAGAGTGGCTGTGGAATCCAAAAGTTGGTGCTCAATCTATCGGAGGTCGAGGAGCCAGAGAGGGTCTGGGGAAAGTGGAAGAGCGGAAGAAGGGGCCAAATGGAATAACCAACCCTCCGGGGCCACACCCACCCTCCTTCAACCCCCACCACCACATCAACCACCACCAGATGGCGTTGATAGAAAAGTTCCGGAATCTAAGGAGGGTTAAAGGAAGGTGGAAGGCAATATCGAACCTGATAAATCACACGGAACTACCCCCGGATACGGTAGCGTGACGGTAAAGTCTGTGATCCGCCAAAACATCGATTTCGACTTTTTAAATTTTGATTTTTGATTTTGCATTTTTGATTTTTTGATTTTTAGCTTTTAAAACAGTTTTCTTATCCGAGCATCGTTAAAAAATTGTTCAGCGAGCTAAGGCTAGCTTGGAATTCTTCCAAGGTGTGTTAATTTAGGATGCAGATCTGCCCAGAAAAGCCATATTTGAATAGAATTTTTTTTATATACAGGATGACCCAACCCCCGACCAAGCGGTCCCCAGTCAAATCCAATCTTTACGATTTAGCTATCAATCGAAAGCTCCTAAAAATACGAAAAAGCAAGCGGGCTTCGTTTTCTAAAACTTAATCTGGTTCCATCGATATTTAAAGTTTTCAAAAAACTGGACATTTTTCAGCAAGAATTTCGCAATTAGCATGCAGATCTTGCATAAATCAGCAGTTTTCAGGTTTTTGGACGTAAAATTACCGAACAAAAAAACATAATAAAGAAAATGAACCCTCCTTGTTTCTCGCCTTTCCAAAAGCTTTCGATTGATACCTAAATCGTAAAAATCGGACTCGACTGCGGACCGGTAGGTAGGGGATTTTTTTGGGGACACCCTGTATTTTTAATTTAAAGTGTTTTTTATTTGGTTTAGCCGCCCTCTGCCAACTCTTCAAAGAGCTAGGTTTAATGCAAAAAGTCGTAAGGAGTTTTTGGTTCGCTACAAACACTGACCTCCTGTTGTACCCAGCGACTCGGATTACCTCAGGCTTGGTCTTCGCTGCATCTATAAAAATAAAATGTAACCCGGTAGCCATCAATAGGAGAAGAGAGGTCCGAATAATCCATTTTCGAAAGCACGCCTTAAAAGGCCAAAAACAACTAAATAAGGAAATTCAAGGCTCCGAAACGTTAGTATCTGATTTCATTGAGCTGTTGACCCCCTTTTCCTATCCATATACGCAGAGCTACTCTAAATTAATATCACCCACGCGCCTCGGGTCACCCACTATTTGCTTAGACGAAAACGCAATTTATACGGGGCTAGAAAAAGATTGTAATTTGATGGTAAACGTAAAATTTCGAAAGCTTGGAAAATTCACTTCCTGGACGAAAGCAATAAGGAGATAAGATTTTGAATCGATAAAGGCGTAGTGTTTCGGAATCGTCAAAGCCTCAATTTATTATCTGGACTCGCGACTCGAGTATGGCTTAAATACCAGACGCCTCCGATTTTTTCACCGACCCTGCTCAAATTAATCCGGGGGGAGCGGAATTTCCGCAACTTTCCATTAGACGGTTTCCGGTTTTGGGAAAACAAAGTTTTTCGAGCTTAAAATCGTCCATCGGGGCCAAATTGCATACTAGCAAATCGCATACTAGAAAAATGATTCGGTAAAATAAGCAGTTGTTCACTCTACTTCTCTCTCTGGCAATGTCTCTCTCGCTCTTGCTATCTCTCGCGTTCTTTCTAAGTCTCTCGCGCTCTCTCTAAGTCTCTCGCGCTCTCTCTAAGTCTCTCTCTTTCTCTCTCTCTCTCTCTCTCTCCCTCTCTCTCGATCTCTTCTCTCTCTTTTTC